CCTAGGTTTCAGTTTTAACCCAACATGTAACTGTAACCTAAAAAGCAAATTCCAGGAGATTTCCAATCCTGCAAGGGTTGACTGCTCGGTTAGGTCTAGTGGGCATGGAAAAAAAAAAAAGTACTTACCCATTCCTCTGGTCTGCCTTGCTGGTATACCAGTCCTCGCAGGAGGACGCTGATGGGCAGTCAAACACCAAAGCATGGGGGGGAACGCTATCTGCCAGGGGAGTAGACGATTGGGTAAGTAAAATTGCTTTTACACACCCCTAGAACTAAATGAGCAGTTAACCCTTGCATTTCAGGCAATGCCCCACTGTAAGGCAAGGTTCCCACCTATGCAGTTTGCGTTTGATCCGTTTCTGCAGTGCGTTTTTGCCACGTTTTTAATTTTTTTCATTTTCTTGTTGCTAGGCAGATTTAAAACTCAAAATGCAACATAAATGTAGCAAAAACACACTACATGCTTTCCACTGAAATCTATAGAACCAAAATCGCAACTTTTTGCATTTAAAAAAGTTCCTGACCCTTTCCAAAAAATGCACCTGGTGAAAACACGGAAATGTGAACCTGTCCCATAGGAAATCATGTTAAATGGACTGTAGTGCATTTCTGCAAAATGCAAAACGCTGCAGAAAAACACTTAGGTGTGAACCTAGGGTAAGGGAAGATTTTTTATTTTTTTCCAGACTTAGGCTTTAACCTCTAAATTGCTGACCAGAAAGTATTGCAGTGCTGCAATAAACAGTGATGTACTCTTGGTGCAGAATCCAGCTGCTTCCTTTGCACAGTGGTTTATAATTTTCCTTTACTTTGTAGGGATCAGAACGGGTATTTCCTCCAGCCAGTTACCTGCTGACTCTAAGCTTAGTCACTTTTCCAGGCCCAGTATTTCCAAAATGGTTTTTACTGCCAAGTTATGAGTCACACTGTCCTTCTCCCCCAACAAACCAGCTAATACATTACTCCGTACTGGAATCTCATCCCACCAGGCCTATGCATGAGGAGTCAGATGAGCTGTCATGTGACCATCACAGTCATCTACCAGGGCTCATATGACATCTGATAGTTGATGAAATGCTCAGCAAATTAATCCGATTTAAATGTTAGAATTATTTTGTCTGAATGGAGCATTCTATTATGGAGTTGAGAATTTCTGAGTAGGAAGCTGGCACCGCAGATGTCCCTTGTAGTGTACATGATCTCATGAATGAATCATGTGATAAAAGTTATTTGTGTTAAAATTTCATTTTTTATTATTAAATTATGCCACTGCTACCATACAGGGACGTTCCCTGCACCACACATGAAAGAAAAAAAAAGTTAGTTCTTGGACATTTTTTAGGGTAATTAGATACCCCCTTCAACAGACCAAGCCCCTTCTCCTATGCCATTCACTGTCAATCTAGCTGTAATGAGATTAATAATCCAGAGAACAAGTAGGGCACATAAACAACTTAACGTTTAATCTGCTTATATTGTGCCTTGCCTGGTTCCTCCTTTCTCTTCCGTTTTCATTGCATACCTTATTTTACACCCAATGATACCATCACTATGTTTCTGTGCTTCTTTATGCAATGCAGGGAGATCATAACTGCTGGGAAGGGTCAGAAGGGTGCCGTACATAGCTCAGTTCTCTTCTCAGGAGTCCTCAATCCTGATACATGCAATGGGCTGGCTGCTAGCAAGAGGTAAGCAAATATCAAATGCCTTGATAGATAGTCTGCAGGAGTGGTCATGTGATGCTGAGCCTCCATGATAGACAAAACTAAAATTCAATGATTGAACCGGGCAGGTCAGGGACAGTTAGGCTGGGGGAGGAAAAGCCTAGATAATGCTGGATGCCCTCCATCCAGAAAATTATGCATGCTCTATCTGAATCGCTGCAGCTTCTAATGCACACTGTCAGAAGCTCTCAGTGTTCAGTGAAATCAGAGTACGCAATTTCAGTACAGGAGAGGAGCCTGTACACTGAAGGTAAAGCTAGCCACAGATGGAATGAAATACAGCCAGTTCAGCAGGAACCAGATGACTTTCTATCCATGTGTGGCTGTCCCCATTTGGTAGAAGTTGATAGTTAGATCAACTTCTGTGGAATGGAAATGTTGTAAAACTTTTGTCAATCAGCAGCTGCAGCCACTGATCAGTGTATTCTGACAACATTGAGTCCCACTGTCAGAATACAACTTCCCTGCTGGCTGAACAGAAAAAAAAAAAAAGATCTGTGCCCAGCCTAGGGCTGGAGTTAGGGCTCATTCACACTAGCAGATGAGGTGCAGAGATGGAGCCACATTTTACCGTTCCCAACCACTGCAGGGGCAGTATATGGAGTACATACAAGAATTATACCACTTTTCGCTTTTGACCACCGAACGTAATCCATTCAAGTGCAAGTATCTCCTCTGCAAGCACCCACTACCAAGCGCAATGCAAGGGGTTTAAAGCAGGCAGTGAGGAGGAGATAGAACGCCTCCTCACTGCCACTGCCTCACTGGGTTTGTTCACACTTGCTTTGGTCCCTTTAGAACGATATGTGTTCTGAATGCTCTTCAGAGAGTTTTACACAGGCAGTGAGGAGGCGTTCTATCTCCTCCTCACTGCCTGTGTAAAACTCTCTGAAGAGCATTCAGAACACATATCGTTCTTCAGGGACCAAAGCAAGTGTGAACAAACCCATAAACTTTAAAGCCCATCTCCACAATTTTGCTAAGGAAAAACATATTTTCCACAACCTGTTTAAAAAAAAAAAAAAAAAAAAAAAAAAAAAACAAAAAAAAAACTACTCACCTGCTCCGAGCTTCAGCCCTGCTACACTCTCCTCTTTGGTGTAGCGCCAGTACTCTTCAGTGTCACTCAACCCAATGCAAGGGATACATCATGCACACACCAGCCTACTCACAGAAAATGCACATGACTGACCAGAATACACCTCCAAAAAAGGTATGTATTCACATAGCTTGATGAAGAGATGTCGTACAGGACAGGAGTGCACACGTACAGGAGACCCATAAGGGACTCCATAGGTCCTGAGGCACAGTGGGCAGACAAAGAAGAGGGAGAGTGTCAGAGCAGCTGGGACAAAATGTAAAAAGTAAACTCAGGATGAAATACCTGTAATATTATATGTATCTGTTTTATGAAAAAAAAAAATAGACTTAAATGTCACTTTAACTGCAGTAAAGTCAAGTCATCAGTCTCGCTTTACAATCTGGCAGAGCTGTGTAAATCACAAGACTGGATATGCAGGAATTCAAACCCTTGGCAGGTAAAATGACTCTTATATACAGTATGCACTTCAATAGAGTGTTTTATCAGGGAACCTATTCCTCCAACTACACACACTGCTTTCAAGCAAATGTGCTTAGGCCCTTCTCACCTTTAACATAGACTGCCTGGGGATGATTTACTAAAACTGGAAAGTGCATAATCTGATGCAGCTCTACATAGAAACCAATCAGCTTTCATGTTTTATTATCAAAGCTTAACTGAACAAACTGAAGTTAGAAGCTGATTGGCTACCATACACAGCTGCACCAGATTTTGCACTCTTCAGGTTTAGTAAATCAACCCCTCTGTGTCTTCTAAGCTTTTATCACAGCCTCCTGATCACTTTCTTCCCTGATTGTTGACCCGTTTGGGAACAGGACCTGCACAACAATGTTACAGGAGATTGCAGCTTGCACATACAGTACATCTTCTATTTCCAGCACAATACAGGAATCTTGTTACAAATTGGTAGCTTAATGGTATAGGGTCCCAAAAACTGTACATAAATTGTTCCCACAATGCTCACACCCTTGTTGGAGATGCCAATGGCAAAAGGGGTCACTCTTGCATGTTTTGTGGGACTGTCTGCAAAAATGACTGGTGTCCTGTTGAGGGACGACCCTGTTTCCTTCCTCCTCCATTTGATGACAAGGTCTCTTAAATGGTACCAGAAATCATTACTTGTCCAACTCCTCAATGTGGGGAAGGCCTGTATCCCACTGTGCTGGAAGCAGACCTCTGCCCCCTCAATTGGTTTGTGGATAACGAAGGTTAAGGCAATTCAGACTATAGAGGACCTGATGGCGAGAGTTAACTATGCAAAAGAAAGGTTCCACAAAACTTGGTATTATTGGTCAGTTTTCCAAACCATATCAGAGTTCACTACCCTTCTGAACATGGTCCTTGAGTCTGTGTGAGGGTATACTTGACCCCCCCAACCCCCTTCCTCACCCCTCCCTTTTTTATCTTATCCTCACTAAACTACTCTCTCCTGTACTTTTTCTACTCCTTTTTCTTCCGTATCTCCTATGGATCTTTCTCTATGTCCGGATACCTATTGACATTCTCCCAGGAACAACCTTACCTCTCACCAAGGAAAGAAACATTTTTTTATACCGCTATGGGGACAGGGTTATTTTACCCCTCCCTGAGGCACTTTTTTCTGGCAGTGTGAAAGCATATATCAGGGTTACTGACTGTCGAGACCGCTAAACCAGATTTGATGTACATTCTCTCCTGAGGTACCTCTCTTGGGAATTAGTTCTGTGTAGTTCTATTTATATTTTTCACATGTGTATTGGACATATCTGCTTAGACCTTGTCATAAAGTTGAAAAACCTACATAAAAAATTAAATTAAAAAAAAAAACGTTTTATCAACTTTCTACTAAAATCTAACACAGGTGTGCATATCAAGTAAATGGCACATACTTCTCTTTAATGGCACAGTAGAGCTACCCAGCATGCATTTTCTTTAATAACTGTCAAGTCCAGCTTCCCCATGGTTGCTTTTAAAACCACAGGTCCCATCAGTCCTTGTTGGAAGCCTTCAGTCTGTCTAGGTCTGATTTACACTTCTCCATTTCAAAAACAAGATGAAAGTGATAAAATAATCCTCCCCATCTGCGCACTATTGTTTTGCTTCCTGTGCATTCAGCTCAGATTTATATTACAGCATTTAAGAGAAAGTCTCAATTCAAATACTTATCGGGGGATCTAAAAATACAGCACTCACTTTTCAATGTGTAGTGGACCTCTTCCGATGTCTCCTCGTGTCCATTATACTCTCTGTTGGCCAGCTGCCTGTTGGCAGTTTCCAGACGATCTGCACAAAGACAGGAAACAAGATGGAGAGATCAGCGGCTGCAGCGAGGAATCACTGACCCTGCAGACAAATGGGACTGAAAACAGAGCTGATGTGTTAAAGTGAAAGCACCATCCACTTTTATTGTTGGGAAGTTATATAGTTACATAGTGTGGCTGGCAAAAACACATCTTCATCAAACTCTCATGACCTACAGTTTGGCTTACTATAAAGCAATAAAGAACCCTGTGGAGCAAATCTGGGGTAAACGTTTTTCCTGACATTGTAATCAGAAAGTTGGTTTACAATTTGGATCGTGCCTTAAATGCTTAAACCAGTGGTTCTCAACCTGTGGGTCGCAACCATTTTGGGGGTCGAATGACCCTTTCACAGGGGTCCCCTAAGACCATCAGAAAACACATATTTCCGATGTGTAAAGAGCAGCTACTGTGTAGAAAGCAGCTGCTGTGTTGAAAGCAGCTACTCTGTTAAAAGCAGCTACTGTGTTGAAAGCAGCAGTATTGGAGGTAAAACGACACTCATGAATTATAATTACTGGGTAAATAATTTTATGGTTGGGGGCCACCACAACATGAGGAACTGTATTAAAGGGTCACGGCATTAGGAAGGTTGAGAACCACCGGCTTAAACAGTAAGTTCAAGCACCACACAAACATTACTGAATAGTAGTAATTACTAAAACAAAAAGATTATATAGCATGTAAGAGATCAGCCGTACCTCTCAGATCCAGATTGAAGTCGTGCAGACGTCGGATTTCAGCTTCCAGTTTGTTCTTCATGGCTTTGTCCAATGCCTCCCTCTTAGTGGATGACTTCACCAAACTCTCATAGGCTTCTGAAATCTTCTGGATTTCTGTTTCAAACTGGAAAAAAAAATCATTACATAACCAAACGATGAAATAATTAGGGTTGAGACTCAAATACTGGGAGCTCCTAGAGTAGCCTTCCTCAACCAGTGTGGCTCCAGAGGGTGCTAGGAGCTCCGAGCTGTGGGCAACAGTCTACACTAACCATCAATGTAAGGAGACAATTTTGAAATTACATTAAGTGTAAGAGGTCACTTCTACACTGACCACCAACAAAAAGGACAACACAATGATCACCAATGTAAGGCCTTTTGCACACTTCAGCTTCTAAAAGCTTAGTACAATGTTTTTTTTTACTGATCTAAAATGCAGCCCACTGTTTACAATGTGCCTGTACACACAGGCACGTAAACAAGAGCTGCATATTCTTGAGTTACAAAAAAAAAAAAATTGCATTCATTGGTCAGTATTTTGTGCTGGTATGTGCAAATATGTGCATCCTAGATTGTAAGCTCTAACAAGCAGGGCACTCTGTTTCCTCTTGTACCAAATTGTGTTGTAACTGTAATGTCTACCTTCATTTTGTAAAGCGCTGTGCAAACTGTTGGCTCTATATAAATCCTTTATAATACTATAATAATAATAATACAGTGCCTTGCAAAAGTATTCATACCCCTTGAAATTTTCCACAGTTCGTCATGTTACAGCCTAAAACATAAATGTATTTTATTGGGATTTTATGTGATAGAGCAACACAAAGTGGCACATATATGTGAAGAGGAAGGAAAATGATAAATGGTTTTTCAACATTTTTTACAAATAAATATGTGAAAAATGTGACGTGCATTTGTATTCAGCCCCCTTTACTCTGATACCCTTAACTAAAATCTAGTGGAACCAATTGCCTTCAGAAGTCACCTAATTAGTAAATAGAGTCCACCTGTGTGTAATTTAATCTCAGTATAAATACAGCTGTTCTGTTCTCATGAAGGCCAAGGAACACACCAGACAGGTCAGGGATAAAGTTGTGGAGAGGTTTAAAACAGGGTTAGGGTATAAAAAAAAAATCCCAAGCTTTAAACATCTCATGGAGCACTGTTCAATTCATCATCCGAAAATGGAAAGCGTATGGCACAACTGCAAACCTACCAAGACATGGCCGTCCACCTAAACTGACAGACTGGGCAAGGAGAGCATTAATCAGAGAAACAGCCAAGAGGCCCATGGTAACTATGGAGGAGCTGCAGAGATCCACAGCTCAGGTGGGAGAATCTGTTCACAGGACAACTATTAGTTGTGCACTCCACAAATCTGACCTTTATGGAAGACTGGCAAGAAGAAAGCCACTGAAGAAAGAAAGCCATAAGAAGTCCCATCTGCAGTTTGTGAGAAGCCATGTGGGGGACACAGCAGACATGTGGAAGAAGGTTCTCTGCTCAGATGAGACCAAAATGTAACTTTTTGGCTTAAAAGCAAATTGCTATGTGTGGCGGAAAACTAACATTGCACATCACCCTAAACACATCACCCCCACCGTGAAACACGGTGGTGGCAACATCATGTTGTGAGGACGCTTTTCTTCAGCAGGGGCAGGGAAGCTGGTCAGAGTTGATGGGAAGATGGATGGAGCCAAATACAGGACAATCTTGAAAGAAAATCTGTTAAGAGTCTGCAAAAGACTTGAGACTGGGGCAGAGGTTCACCTTCCAGCAGGAGAACGACCCGAAACATACAGCCAGAGCTACAATGGAATGGTTTAGATCAAAGCATATTCATGTTAGAATGACTCAGTCAAAGGCCAGACCTAAATCCAATTGAAAATCTGTGGCAAGATTCCAAAATTAGATATTATAAGTGTAAAATAGTCCTCATAAATCAGCGCTTCACTTCATAAATCTCAGATAATAAATATAGATAATGTTGGTCATATATCAAAAAATATATCAATGCAATAAAGATTAACAGATCTTCAACTGAGGTGTGACAATGTGATAAGAAGAATCCAATCCACCTTTATACTTCTTGTAAGGACAGTCTCTCTATTTGAAGAATTCCCTCCAGCACCACTGTGTTCTTTAAGTGACTAGCACCCCATCAAAATTAACACTCACCAGAACCTGGTGGAAACCAAGCATAACAAAATATCCTACTTCTAGGCTCGCCACACACCACCGTTCAGACAAATCCGATAGGTCCAGTACATAAATAAAAAATATAAAAAAAACGCACCACATCGCGTAACTCAATTTCAAAATTTTATTGCCAGCGTCCCCTCATAAAATTAAACTCACATAAAATGAAAAAAGTGCGTATCAATTAAATTCAAGCAACGATCATCACATAGGCTGTAACGCTATCATCTCACCACGCTTCTGTGTACAGCCCGCGGTTCCACTTCCGGGTAGGAGGGGCTACGTCACTTCTGGTGAACGTGCTGACATCATGTATGGTCGCGCACTTACGCGTTTCGTCATTACGATTTCCTCTGAGGGTGTGCAAGATTTCAAAATTGCTGTTTACAGACGCTCTCCATCCAATCTAGCAGAGCATGAGCTATTTTGCAAAGAATGGGCAAAAATTTAATTCCCTAGATGTGCAAAGCTGGTAGAGACATCCCCAAATAGACTTGCAGCAGTAATTACAGTGAAAGGTGGTTCTACAAAGTATTCACTCAGGGGGGCTGAATACAAATACAGGGCACACTTTTTACATATTTATTTGTAACAAATTTGAAAAAAAATTATTTTTCTTCCACTTCACAATTATGTGCCACTTTGTGTTGGTCTATCACATAAAATCCCAATAAAATACATTTACGTTTTTGGTTGTAACATGATAAAATGTAGAATACTTTTTCAAGGCACTGTATGAGCATAAATATTGATGGATTCGCCTAGGAATGTATTGTACCCTCAAATGCAAAAACACGCAAATAGGTGCATAAATACGCGCACACAATATGCCAAAAACAAACGCCAGAAATTACGTCCAAAAATGCTGATGCTCAAACGTTAGTACCGTGTGTAAGAGGCCTAAGGGGCACTTTTCCAACAAGGTAGGGGTCCTACACTGACCACAATGTGCATGGGTATTACTTCACAGACTACTAGTGTAAGGGGATGTAACACTTTTTTGTGGTCATTATTATTTAGATTGTTTCAGGAATATAATTTTGTATTTAGAGCAGAGGGTGTTACAAAACTCTAGGTACATTTATTCTTTTATTTTAAACTTTGTACAACTTACTGGTCAGGTTTAATGTACTATGAGCTGTAGATACTGTAAATTCATTTTTAGCAGCAATTCCTGACCAGACAGCACACATTAAAATCTATGTGTTTTCATTTCACCTGCGATTATTCATGTTGCCAGAATGTTGTAAGTCGCTGGAAAATCGCTCTAGTGTGAACAAAGGCTTAAGGGTGAAAGGATGAGCAAGTAATGCGGTCGTCAGGGTAAAGCTTTTTCCTACACTATGTAATGAAACAATAGGGGAACATATACAGTATAAAAATCTGTCCCTTAAAAACCAACCTAGTTCAGACATAGGGGTCCACAACTTTGATTAGTGTGTTTTAAGCTCACTAAGACCAATTGTAGTAGACCCTGAGATTTACACAAAAGCAATAAAAATACTTACCTTACAGATAAATCCATGTTATCAAAAAGAGATTTCAGTGAGTTTTCAGCATGCAGGAGTTTTCAGCTACTGCAGGATTTACATTACAGTAATTACATTACAGGCACACTGGACACTGAAAACAACTGCTCTGGACGTTTGTTTCTGGCAGTCAAAAAAACACTTGAAGCTGGTAAACGCCAGCACGTGCACCATGTTTATCAAAGTCAAATTATTGGATGTTTTTTTCATTTCTTTGGCCAGAACAAATAACTGATTATGGTCACTGAAATGAAAAAACGCCCAAGCGCTAAATGTACCTATCATTAATGCGCATTTGCACACGTATTTGCCACGTTTGGTGTTTTTCTGTCAAAACACTCCTCTCCTGAACGTGATTCTTCTATATTCAGGGGAGGAGCATTTTACTGCCTCTGAACTCTGCTGCTCCTAAACTTTGGTAAAAGCCTATGGGGTTGATTTATTAAAAGCAAATAATCTGAACTGCAAGTGCATTGAAAGTGCAGTTGCTCTCCATCTGAAGGGAACATGCAAGGAAAATAAGAATACAGCATTTTTGCTTGCATGTGATTGAATGAAAGAAATCAGCAGAGTTTCGCCTCATTTTCAGAGCTTCCCCTCGGATCTAAAGCAACTGCATTTGTGGTGCACAGTATATTTACCTTCAGTAAACCAACCCCAGAGTCTTGCATTCTGAGAAGGTGCTTTAAAGTACAATCACTGTGAAGCACTACAAAGCAGTACCTCTGCATGCATTGGTCTCTTCTGTCATGTCTCTTCTTAGTCCCCATATAGAGCCCCCAAAATGCATGTTAATTTGTCAATGAATTTCACCTAAGGCAGCTACCTGTAATGGCGACAATGCTGCAGTTGCCACTCTTACGTAAACTGTGCCTGTTTGCACTACAGTTGATTAAAAAAAAGTTGCAAAGCATGGCTATAAAGATTGTCACTCAAAAGTCTGCAGCTTATCAATCGGCACCTGGTCACACCTATTCTTGCCCACTACTTGGTGGACTGACGGCTCTGCCTCTGCTGCTGAAACCCTCCCACTATGAGCTCTAGTATCTAGGAGCGGGAGCGCGTGAGACACAAATGAAGGTGGAATTGGCTCAGGCATGAAAAGTTACTTTACTTTCTGAGGATTTTGCAGTACATAGTAATTGGATTTGGGACTTGCCATGCAGGAACACTTTAAGGCAGGCCTTGAAATTTTCACTCGCCTGCTCGCCAATGGCGAGTGGAAATTATGGTGGGGGCAAGTGTGTCCCCCCAGGGTCGTCTTGCTGAGCAGGCTCGGAGCTCAGACTAGATCTGTCAGTGACACTGGGAGCCGTCAGACTGCTCAATAGCTGAGCGCAGTGAAAGCAAAGGAAGGAGTGTGTGCTGTGCTCTCTGCCTCCCCCTAGAGTGCAGT